CTGTCACTTTAGTTAATCGTTAAATAATCCTTACTAATATTATAAATTGGAAAGTGAGTTTGTTTGTTTGTTCCGCTTTCACGCCGTAACTACTGAACTGATTGCTTTGAATTTTTGCAGACGTAAAGTTAGAAGTCTGGAATAAATAATAGGGTACTTTTTATCCCGGAAAATTTTGATATTCCCGAGGGAAAACAAAAGTATTGGTATAGATGGCGCTGTGTGTATTGGTATATGTCACATAGGCTACTGTTTATCCTTTTGTGACGCGAGCGAAACCGCGGGTAAAAGCTAGTGTGAACATAAGTCTCAAAGTATTATATAACAATTTTGTTCAGGTATACGCTTGCTGACCACATACAAGCCAACGTTTACATCAACAAGATTTGGAACTCCAGTGCTGGGTATAGGTGATAACAGATATTACAGGAATAACAAGAGTAAAGGCCGGAAAGCGACGTGGTTCTGTAGCAAGAGGCGCTTGGGGTGCAAAGCATCACTAATCATGTGTGACGGGGATATCCTAAGCTATAAAAACACGCATAAACATGATCTCACACAGGTTTTAGTAAACAGGTTTACGAGTGAAATTGGTTCAGAAGATAGTTTTACAATTTATGAGTGAAAGTATACCTAATTTATATAATATGTCGCGGAGAACCTAACGGGTTACCGGGGCTCCGGCTCGAAGTGCAGGAGAAGGAACGGGGTGGTTTTTAGACAGTAAGAGTCTGACACTCCCTCCCGCCTCACCCAAGTGGGAGCAGAAATTCGATGATTTTCCCCCATTAAAAAAATAAAAAAATCTATATAATATACAAGCTACTTTCGCGCGGGTTTATGTTTCATACCTTCCTCGATAAATAACCTATCCAACTCAAGAAGAATTTTTGAAATAGATTCAGCAGTTCCAAAGATTAGCGCGTTTAAACAAAGAAACAAACAAACTCAGCGTTATTTAATACTTTAACTGCCAAGTTTAAAATGGTGAAAGTCAAACCTCCACTAGCGTCAGGCACCGGTGACTGACGTGGCGCTCTAAAGGTTAACAGTGTATATAAGATGCACTAAATATATAAAGCTGAAGAGTTTCTTTATTTGTGGTTTGGAGTCGAGCAGAGCGGGTGAAACTGCGCGGGAATAGTAATATGAAATACTATATCTAGTATTGTTTCTAGTTATTTAAGTACACATATAACTCGACACGTAGTGTGGTTTTTCACCACTTCAGTTTCATAATAGTTGGTACAAACTTTAGCAGAAAGTGCTTTTTAAATACTAGATTTGCTACCTATAATTGCCACTTAATAGTAATTTGTTAGTACGACTAGTATTATTATATGTATTAGTATTGTGTTATAAATTTCTGATCACACGTACTTATAGTTACGTAACTTATTTACATAAGGACCATGTGTATATATTGCTTCCCAAAATAAAATGAGAAATTTTCATTATAAGAAATATTTCAAGTATGGGAGATCCATGCTTCGGTACGAATGGGCCGGCTCGATCGGAGTAATACCATGACCTCACAGAAAACCGACGTGAAGCAACACTTGCGTTGTGATTCGTCGTGTGAGTGAGGTGACCTTAGGCCCAATATTCCCCTTCCCCCATTTCCCCAATCCCTGAATCCTCAACAATCCTCAAATTCCTAATCTCCAAAATGGTCGGTAACGCGTCTGGTGTTTCGGGTGTCCATGGGCGGCGCTGATTTCTTACCGTATCAGGTGATCGGCCAGCTCGTTTATCAGCTGATCCCATAAAATAAAATATTTTTATTATACCTATTACCTTCTACCAGCGACTTCACCCGTAAATAATAAAGTACCCTATGTGTTATGCCAGATCATAATTTACCCTCATTCCAAATTTCAACCTGAACCCTTAAGGTGTTTTGTTGTGATTTATTTACAACATTCACAGAGACACACAAACCCACAAACTTATAATATTACTGAGATATTCTTGTTTTCTATAAAGGTAGTTTAGAATGCTCTAAGATATTGTTTTTAACATTTTGTAGATAGCACAGAAGACCTGAAGCCAAGGTTTGCGTGGTCTAAAAATGGGAAACAAGTATTGGATGTCGGAATATTTCGATATTATAGAAACAACAGAAGCAAAGGAGTGAAAGCCACGTGGTTTTGCAAGAAGAGGTTCCATGGGTGCCGCGCGTCCATCACTATAGATGACGAAACTATAGTAAAGGTTAATAATGCACATAATCATAGTTATTGAATATAAATTTTTGATGACAAAATTATTCGTTTGTACGCTACTTACGAATTATTTCGTTTTGATAGTGTTTTTATGTCTTTGATAGAATTGTTTAATATTTATGACTACAAATGTAGGTACCAACAGTCTATCAAAATAAACAAATCTAGTCTAAATCTAGTCTAAATAAAATCAATGTTTGTAGGTAAGTACATAATGATTAATATTTGTTAATGCAGGAACTATTGTTAGTTATAATTTGTTGTTGTGGATCTTTTTAACTTTAGTAGGGAGTTCTAAGAATCTTCCTATTAGTACCTAGTGTAAAGATAAAAAAAAATAAAAAATATTTATACCTAAGTAATTTTTAGTTTTAGTGTTGTTAATTTAAATGTCATGACCAACCTACTAAGGCGATGTGTCGCATGTATTCCCGCACGGAAGAATATTTTCCGAGATCCATAGTATTGGTATTATATGTCTAAGTGTAAGTGTGATTAGTATTTGTAAGTGTTCCAAGATTCCATGATATGAAAGAAAATTCTTATTGCCATTTTTATTCCAGTTACGTACATAACGACTCACAGAGGGGGCCGTGCACTGATATATGGAGGTTACCGATTCGGTATAAACAGGACTCATGGGGGCCAAAGGACCTGGTGGAGGTGTTCTAGATCCCAGGCTCTAGGTTGCAAGTGTACAGTAACTACGCATGGCGAGTTAGTTCTTAAAATTAATGGGTATCATAATCATGACTCATATATATAACAGTGTTTATTTATTTAATTAAGGGCAAATAACAAAGCATACAGCAAAATACATGATAGATTGTTAACATATTTTAAAGTTGTAAAGTGAAGCCTTAATTAAAGGATTGGCCACAGGAAGCTTATAGAAGAGCCGAGTGGCAGGAGGTTTGCCCTGCAGTGGGACGACCATGGCTAAAAATAAATAAAATAACGAAATGCATTAAACAAAGAACAGGATATTACAGCAAAAAGTTCACTTATCAAAAAAAAAGACATCTTTATAATACTTACTTACTTATACATCACAATTGTTAAATTTAAATATTTTGTTATACATAAACACAATTAAGCTTTTAAGTTGTATGAAAATATTTTGTATAGGTACATAGTCATGAGGTTATGTATGTATGCATGTATGAAAATACTTTAAACTGTCCTCCTTATAAACTCATGTTTACTAGCTATTATGATATTCATGGTAATTAATTAGTTAGACTTTTATAACTAATTATTGAAGTAATGTATTTTTACTTGATCTTAAGTTTTTAGATGTACTGAAGTCATTACATATGTACATTTATACATAGTTTATTTTATTAATTACTTATTCCTTTTTAAGTGAAATTTCTTCAATCCTTTTCTCACTATTAAAATTTAATCTTTTTAGTTCTGATATATACTCAGACGCGGTATGGTAAGCCAGCGATCCAGATGGGCAAGTACAGGTTTTATAGGAACAACCGTAGTACTGATACAAGGGCTTTATGGATTTGCTGCAGGACTAGTATGGGCTGCCGAGCTACCATCACAACCTTCAAAGATATCGTCGTCAAACAGAAATGTGTTCACAATCATTAGATAGCTTTAAATCATACCTACTATCCTAATTATCCACGAATGATTGTTTTTGAATTGTATGAGCTATGATTAAACTTTTCCGTTTTAGGTTTAGAACTCACGGCGCGATTTTCTCCTGATCCCGCCGCGTTTGCGGGCCCGCAGTCTTTGTAGAATACAGATATAGATGTAAAAAATCAAACCAATTTTCACGGTGCGTTTTACGCCTCAGCGGTTGCGATTGTTTGCGGCTCCCGCTGCACCGGCGGGCGCAGCCGCGGTCCCGCAACCGCGGCGGCTAGCAGGTTGGCGGGCCATCGTAATGTGACGCTGGTCTGGAACTCAACTGATTGTTTAACTACCCGCTCGTTTTGCGATGATCAACCGCTAAGTTTGCGGGCGATAATCGCAACCGCGGCAGCATAGATCGTGAGTTTTGAAAATTCCGCCACCGCGACGGGGACGGAGAAGATTGCGCCATGAGTCCTTAGCCTTAGTGGGACATGTTTTATGGACATTTGTGTTCTTTGTCTATACAATATACCTACATACATAGTTGTATACTGGAATTTTCTAATTAGTCCTTAGTCCAATGCGACGTAGGAAATAAATACAATGTAAGTATGATTTTTTATATACTTAATAGAATGGTGTTTGACCACCATTCATACCATCTTCATTACTTTTGAACTCTTTCGTGGATAAAGATAATTAGGATATGTATTCTCAAAAATATATTAGTCGCTTCACTACGCTAGTTGCATTGTAAAATTAATCCATTTTAATAAACCGTCCTCCAAGTGCATTAAATGAATGTCAAGTAATTAAATGAAATCACGTTAATCACCAATGTAATTGAAATTACCTTATTTGTGTTTTCATTTTCTTAATTAGTTCTTAATCAGCTTGTTCATACAAAATTAATGTATGTTCAATATCTATGAATTTTCATACGTTTTCTTGTTAACTTAACATTATGATGTTTTGTTGTACCTATTTTTTATATGTAGTTACTTATACATATGTATATTTTAAGTTTAGTCGTCGCTAAATACTTTGTACTAAATAGAGTGTTTTATTATAAAAATGTATCATATTTTTTAATTGTTAGCTTAATCAAATTGTTTATTCTATAGATTCGATAAGTTATTCGTTTTATTTTGTGATTCAACAATAAGTCATTAAAAAAAAATGGGTAAGTCAATCATTTTACTTGTATATTGCTGATAACATACTTGGTACGTATTTTATAATAATGATTTGCGTTTGGTGACTGCCTCGTTAGTCGAGTGGTTGCAAGTGCGACGGCCAGGCTAGGGCCTGGGTTCGATTCCCGGGTCGGGCAAAGTGGCAAAGTTTTCAAATATTTCCCTGTAGTAACACGGATCCTGGAATTGTGCCCGGTATATGGCAATAGGCTCACCCCCTATTACATGGGACTTATAACAAAATAGTGAAACGTGGGTGTTACATTATACAGTGGCATTAAGTGCCGTAATGTGGACCTCTGCCTACCCCCTCCGGGGATAAAAGGCGTTATGTTATGTTATGATTTAGGTTTCCCATAACTTTCTGATTTGATGCATAGTCATTACAATTTTGTGTTATTCGTAGTAATATCTTCTCTAACGAATTTGTAATTTCAGGTCCAATAATAATGAACACAAAAAGAGGTACTCCCCTACTGCAAGTCAACGGCCAAAAGTACAATTTTAAGCGGACTCTACAGGGTGGTGCTAGAACTTACTGGGTCTGTAACAAGGCCCCTCAAGGTTGCAGAGTGTCAATTGTCACCTACGACGACCATATTATCAGAATTAAAAATGAACACAATCACTGAAACGTCTCTCAAAGAAATTTTTATCAAATACTCATAAGTCCATAGTCGGTAAAATACGTTTCTATTATGTAATATATAGTCAAAATGTTAACAGTTAAAGAAATTTTATGAATTAACGACGTTGCGAATCACCACCCCAAGACAAATGGTAAAAACGATGGTCGAATCGAGTAAATGGAAAAGTCAATATACAGTTTTGATACAAGCTTGAAGCTTTGACATAATTTTGAAAAAAATGTCAATGTGAATTGTACATTGATTTTGACAATTCACTAAAGATTGGTGTCTGTGCCATATAGATTCTATGACCTTGTTCTACGAGCTACGGCGTAGCACACTCGTAGCAATGTCGTAGTCTCGTAGTGCAATTATACTGAACTATGAAAATTGTGATCTCATTTGTTTGTCGAGTCCTTTTACCTCAATTTGTATATCGTGCAATAACTATAGCATATTACCTCAACTATTTTTGATTTGCTTAATATTCTAATATCTGTTTTTTAATATGGTTACGATTCCGTTTCTTGTAAATAAATAGAAAGGAAGGGTAGGTGCTTTTGATTTATATCATTTTTATTTTGTATAATGATTTTGATATTACCTATTTGATAAGGCTGTATATAGAAATAACTATTGCAACTGACATCGCTACAAGTAATGTTAGCTCAATAAAATGAATATCAAATGATCTATTTTTATTATTTCATTCTTGACAAAGCATGTAGACACCTTTTTGCTTCTAAGTAGTTTTATTCATAAATAGGTTATTTTAAATTAGTTATAAGGTAGTTAGATTTCATTGGAGACTATGAAAGAGATCCTAACATAAATGATTATTTCACCTTCTCCAGCACCTTCGACTTCAGCACCAAGAGTGTCAGAAAAAATGAGTCAATTTTGGAGCGGCGTGATCGAGTGGAAGCGTCTGACCAAGGCTGGTGGAAATAAGCTCGCCCTGCTCAACTGCACCTTGTTGGCTGCTAAGAGAGTCACCGACAATCTTAACGTGAAGGCCTGGCCGAAGACCTTGCAACTACACCTAGTACCAAAACTAGCTTTCGATAGAATTGGATTAATACGTTACCTGAGCAGTAGACGGGCGGTCGTATTCGTATTCAGAAATAGTAAAGTACGGGATGAGCTCACTATTGCCTTTGAGAAGGGCATGGTTGGCTGTGTCAAGCTCTCTCCCCCACCTGACTGTGATATTAAAATGATTATCCTCTTTTATGACAACACTAGAAAACTCTTCTTCGGTGTGATACCTGAAAATCAAGACGAGGTCATAAGTAAATTGCACAACGTGATCGAAAATCAAATTAAGCAGATTTCTAAGTAAAAGGATTTCTTGGATTGCTATGATTACAATAGTGTTTCGTTTAACTAACCCACCAACAAACAATATTAAGAGAAGTGGCAATTCTTGGCAAAAGTCCAATTGAAATGAATGTATTACGTAAATATTTGTTTTGAAATGGCCTTGAAAGTAGGTGCTGAAATGCATTGAATCGACTGATCTGAATCCAAGTTAAGAATCTGGTCTGACGATAAAATCATTCATTTTTCGGTGGAATTTTGTCAACGCTTGTAAATAATCGCTTATATAGAGTCCACTTGTCTGTAAAGTTCTTATCATTCCGATTTAAATGACAGATTTTAACTATACCGGGTAATAATATATATATATGACATTTTAAATATTTAAGTTTTAAATTATCTTACAATATTTCAAAGTAGTGTTTTAAAAAAGATAATATTGTCAGCTGCAGTTCACGATTCCACATCTTCTGTACAGTTGTAGTCAGCTCTGTTCTGATGTATCAATTGACTGTAATTATAATTAGGAATTAAGTTTATTTCATGACCGTTTTTCCAGGAAAAATAAGTGTTTTTGAATCAATCTATATGTCTAAATAATATTGCATGTATTTGACTGTAATTAACCCTCAAGTGCTCGAGCGTAAATATTTATTACTTATTTTATAATAGTGGTTAATATAATAATTACAATTTTACAAATGTTGATGTTTAGTTTTTGGATAAGTTCTCAATATATTTATTTCACTTTCGGCACCTGTCCCTGGTTTTGGCTAATTTCTAACACTTTTAAATTTTCTGTAACTGTGATTTTTTGATCTAGTTTTTTTTATCTTTCTACCTTTTATCTTATATATCCTAAGGGACGGTCATCTTTCGGTATGGCAATTTTGCAATTTTCGAAATAGGTCTTTGAAAATCATAACAACTATTCTGTCAGTTTGAGCTGTGGATTTATTTTTTATTTACACCAAAGAATTTAATAATTCTCCACAAAACTGCTTTGACTGGCTTGTTTGATTATGACAATCAGTAATATACAAAGTTACCCTAGTGGACTACTATACACAAGCATTTAAAACTTATACACAGCATTAGCTTAAAACATTTCATGCTTTTTAGAAATGTTGCCATTTTAGAAACAGTGAGAACTTATTCAACAGCTAATATATTTTTTGAAATGTTTTACTCAATACTAAAAATACGTTGAAAGATTTAATCTTATTTTACTTTTTAGGCTGTTATAGTATGTATCCGTTATTATAATTTTATTGATTGTAATGATATAAATCTAGTCACAAAAACTATTCATTTAAAAAAGTAGAGTTAGTATTTTAAAGGTTCCTAATATTTTATTTTTATTGTTTTATGATATTTTTATATTTTCCCAGTTAATTAAGGTTATATGTATGTATAAATTACTTGCACTAATGTTATTTTTAAATACTTGCATTTCCTTAACGAATTTGGCCAGTTAAGGGTTAATTACTTAAAGAAATGTTTTCTAATAATATCAGTACCTACATACTTACCATAATAATGTTTCTAATTGATGTCTATTAAATGATCATATGACAGGTTATTCATACCGAAATATCATCATGAGTTTTATTTGCACGACTTGCATACATATTTTGCTTCCTCACACACATATGTACATTAATTACAGCAATCAGCATGCTCTGTGTAAATAATCCACATTTATCCTTTTTGATAGCTGCTAAAATACATACCAGCTTCTCAACATCGTATTAAATGACAATATATTTGCTTGGCCCTATGAAACTAGCTTTCACATTACCCAATGCAGGCACACCGGCGAGGCGATTTAACTGTACAGTGGAACTATACAGTTAAATTGTAGGAGCATACAGCTTATACACCTTCAGTTAAAACAGTACAGTTCAACTATATGCACACGCGCACACGCCGTTACACTGACCACCGCTTTTCACTTTCATACACATATTTAACATTGGTGACAGTCTTACAGTACAACCATATTATTTTTATAGGTCCTATATTCAGGAAGTCGTGGAAGGGTAAGAGAATCTTGCAAATAGCTGGGAGCAGTTTCAACCTGGTGAACTTCAAAGGTAAACGATCGTACTGGTACTGCAACCAATGGGCGAAGGTTGCCGGGCTTCTGTGATTACCTCCGAGGATGTCATCATCAAAATGAGGGATGACCATAATCATAGCGTCAGTACATCAAGGCATACTTCTTTTGAGATAAGAGCACCAGTTTCTAGCCCTGGTTACCATCTGAGGCCTGTTGCTGAATCAGGCTGGAATGCTGTCCAGACAATGCCTGCCGATACACAGTTTCCATTTTAGGACATGTCGGCTCTGGCTATCAATTTTTGACAGAAAAGGCTACAAGCTTACAATGTTAGGTAGCACTTTAATAGGTACTTATTTGTCTTCCTCCGGATTTTCTCTTCATCCTACTCATATCTCAAGTTATTTAAGGTGATTGAAAATGGCTCAGGCTAATTGAGGTCCATTCTTTGATATCAGACATTATCACAAAGATTTTCTCCTCTAGGCTTTCTCGTTGGAGTAAAATCGTTTAGTCTCTTACTTTATTTGAGACTTACTATAGTTCCTAGTTCTAGTTATATTTTGGTAGCTGAAGTTTACATTATAAAAAATATTAAGTGTCTATGTTAAGGTATAATGTGCCTAGAGAGTTCTATTTATCTATTTTTCTAGTTATTACGTGTTTATTTTATAGTATGATTGTTAAGTTAGACATTTATGTTATATAGAAGTTTAGGTACACCAAATATTAAGGCAGCTATACCGAAAATAAAATAAAATAAAAATGTTGACACAGTGAAATTGTTTTCTTAAAAAAGCACTCAATAGCAACTAAAGATACCAATACGATACAAGTATAATCATAATTATTCATTGAACATCAAATGATGTTCTAAACTAATACTTTGTTCAACAGAGTCCGCGGTGTTTTCATACACTAGACACGGATCGCTGGTCCTCAATATTAAGAAATTCAGGTTTAACCTCAAAAGGATGGGTGGCAACCGAAGGTACTGGATCTGCAATAAGGCCTGGCGAGGATGCAAGGCATCCGTCACCACGGTCGGCCAAACGATCATCAAAACGAGAAACTTGCATTCTCACACTTAAAATTCTTTATCAAGCTTCAAATTTGTATTCCTAGTTGGCCTAACCTCATTATAAATGTTTGAATTGTTAACAGGTCTTCTTTCTGAATTTTCTGATTCATTAACCATTTTTCAAGATTCATCTAGTCTCGACATCGATGTGTGATCATGAATTTTTGATTATTTTCTTCATAAGATAAGTATTCGTTAACGAATTTAAACTGTAAAACACCGAGCGGTCACCGGTGACCGCAACCTATTGTTCTTTAATTGTGTCTATAATGACGGTACTCAACGAGTTAAGAAACTGAAGTGAATTGCGGTTTAAAGGGTGAAAAATGTAATTTGAACATAATATACACAATAGCTAAACTGAATTATGATTTGATGAAATTGTTTTATTTTACAGTCGGACCAGTTTTCTCATATACGATACACGGCAAACCGTCTTTGAATGTAAACCAGTACAGGTTCAACTTCAAGTATAAGGCTGGTCAGCAGAGCTACTGGGCGTGCAACAAAGCGTGGCGTGGATGTCGAGTCGCCGTTATAACTATCGGTACACAAATTGTTCATGTGAAAAATCTACATAATCATCCTTAGCACCAACGCTATATGGTTGAAAATTGACATCGTATACTATTTTGTATTTGTCATAACTATTTATTTATTAAAGTTACATATTTCTAAGATTTCGCAGTTTTATTATAATCAATTAAAGGTTCTCCTAAGACACTTACATTGCCTCCTTTAATATACAGGTTCTTGTGTATCATTTTATAAATTAATTGATTTTACTTATTCGTTACACGTTATACAGTTGGATGATGAATAAATACGTTGTAACCTGTTGTAAAATAAGTAATTACAAGACTTAATTTTGAAAATATTCATATTTTTATAGTCGTCGTCTCTGGTAGTGCGATTGGAACACGATATATGAGATATAATGGCTGTATAATATGTATATAAAGAAATAACTGCACAGGGCTGAACTCAAGAGGTTTTTAGTCTTATAGAAAGAGGATATCAATGAAACGTAAGGCCATTACAGTTACTGTCTACAGTCAAATTGTAAAGATAAACAATACCATGCCCATAATCCAACAACATAAACACAATAAGAATGAAGTTATTTTTCTGTATCTAATCATAATTTACATAAGTTATCTGTTATAATAAAATTATTTGGAAGTAAAATGAAGATGCTATCATTTATTTGGCTATTTTGCAAGTTTATATATTATGAAACGTAGATAAATCTGGTTATAAACTTCGAAATAGTTATACAAGGTGTAGTTTTGAAACTGTGACATTTCTCGGGGGCATATCACAGAAGTCATAAAGGTTCAATGTAAGAGAAAGTTTCGGGCCAATTGTTAAAAATACGGCTATAATAAATCGTTTAAGTTCAACAGTATTTCAGAATAAGCGACAGCAATGTTTCTTATTGGAGTTTTATGGAATTAGGAATAATATCAATTACGTGTTTGAGTTTGTATGTGTTAAGCCGCGTTATAAAGTTACAAGACGGCGGCGTGTACTTGGCATTTACGGATTTCCGTAATTTCAGAAAAATGAAAAATATTTACCTACAATTTTTTTATTGATTCTGACTCAGAATCGATAGCCGAGTTACCTCCTAGAAAATGACGCGGCTTTAAAACAACACCTTGTATATGTCGGAGGGTGGTGTTGGGCGAGACCCCTTTTTGTCACACATATCAGTAGAGGTATGTGTATGCAGCAATAAAACAATAAAATCTTCGTAATTCAATGATTGTTTATTTTCATACATTGCACTTATACTTCCTCACATTTTAATTAACCACACATTTCCTATGAGCAGAAATGCTTAAACAAACTCAGAGGTCTCAGTCACTCTCAAAGTGCACACATGATTAACGAAGTACTTCGACCAAAGTTTAGTCCACTCTTATTGTAATAATGTTCACTGTTATATTTTCAAACTCAATAACAAATTCACGACACTGATTCTAATGATTGCAATCATTGAACACTAATCGAATGACAATATTCATAACATAACATAACATCACGCCTTTTATCCCCGAAGGGGTAGGCAGAGATGCACATTATACCGCTGTACAATGTAACACCCACTTTTCACTATTTATGTTATGAGTCCATGTAATAGGGGGTAAGCCTATTGCCATATACCAGGCACAATTCCAGACTCCGTGCTACTACTGAGATTTTTTTAAAACCCAGTTCGCTCGGAGTCCAAGACAAGAGTGATTGCTTTGTGTTGAACGCCAATCAATCTCCTCTCCTCTTTGATGGACGTGACGTCACAATTAGCTGTTGCAGCGCGCCATCTTTATTCCTATTGTTGTTATTTGTTTGTTTTGTAGTAAATCGAAGCCACGGCCCAATTGACCATTCCGACATATAAAATAAATAAAAATAAAAATCCTTTTATTTCGTGTATTATTTTTGTTAATCAATTTTACATTTTATACTTTCTTGCTATCTCTTTTCAACTCAAATTAATTTAATTAGCATGAACCCCAAAGTAGTTATATGATATAATAATTTTCTATATGATCTACAATACTCCCTTTTCTTTTCAGTTTTTTACGAGAATTGTTGTGGAAGAACATATCTTTGGTACAAGGGGTTTTGGTATCGAAAATACAAGGAGTCGGGAGCTACTATTTGGTGGGTTTGCTACAAAAGATCGTCTCTGAAGTGTACCGGTTCCATCATCACAGACGCTGGCGAGCTGGTCAAGACTGACCCTCGGCACACTCACGAGAAGAACGTTTGGCAGAAAGCTTTCCATGGTCTCCTGAGCTGAGAATAGGTCTATTTTAAATAAACTTGGCCACCCAACAGCACCAAGACGGTTATTGATTTTAACGATTATTATTTGTTAAGTGTTCATGAAAATAAAGCATTTAGGCTGTATTATATTTTTTTATTAATGAATGTGCATTTATTTTGTGCTGTTAAAAATGTGTTTTTTTTTGTATAGAATTTCCTTAATATTGATTTATTTTCATGAGAGCAAGTACTTTTGTATGAGTTACTTAGGTAGTATTTTCCTAGGAAAATTATGTTTTTTAATTTGTAATGTTTCCACCCAGCGATTGGGCAATGGCTTCGAAGGCTCCGTTTCTACCGGAATCTAGTCATTTCTACAATATCTTCACATTTATTGCTTTGTGTATGTTTACGATTAAGTTAATTGACAATGAATACTACATTTTCAAAATATTTCAGTAGTGTATAAAGACATATTTATGAAATAGGTACAATTTATTTTTTTACATTTCGTCACTAACTTAAACGCTTGTTCTTGAATGTTAAAAGAACAAGTATTGTAGACGTTATTAGTAAAATATGTATTGGAAAAATGTAATGGCGTTGGCTGTGCGAGAACAATTTGTATTTGTAGTTTGTAGTTAGGACTGTTTTTAATAAATAATGTTAGTTTAACCCTAGATTGAGGGGATATCTGTGTTTGAAGTGAAGTAGTTCGAGTCAGAACTAGACAAACGTCATAAATCGAATTGAATAGTAAAGTCAATGTATGAAATTGATTTCACCTTTTGATAAATTAGAATAAGGTTCTGTATGTTTCTGTCAATTTCATAAGTACTCATCTGTGCTGAGGGTTTAGTATGAATTTGTTTTACGTTTAACGAGATCAAAGTCAAAATAACTTATTTTATTACTAGTGATTTAGACTAGGGAGGCACTTTTAAACGTCAATAAAAAAAGTAAAGTAAAGGTTTATTCCAGTTTTCAAACGAGCAAGAAACTCCATAGGGTACTCTTTTTCAATCAGGTTCACAATACAATTTTTAGTTACATAGTTTTTTTGGTCCAATTGGTTGGTTTATTGAAGCTGGCGCCGATCGCTAACTCTTTTCTATCTCGTTGAACGTAAAAGAAAGTCGTAGTAAATCCTCAGATTTTTTCTCGAATAGCATTTATAACATTTGTCAGTCTAGGCCCGCTGTCTCAATGAAAAATGAGTTTTTAGATTGTACATAATTAATTCGAAGTTAGGAACCATTATGGACATTTGTTTCCTATACAGAGCACTGTTTACTGTAATTTTGTTTGTGTTTACAAATATTTATAGAATTGATTCAATGTCTATAAGTGATTATATTAATCTTTTATGTATTAACCACCAGAGTCATGTATAAACGACAAGCCAAAAATGCCCAGTACGCCGCAGTGGCTTTATTTTTTATGTCTTCTACTTATATATTATTGTTTATTTATATTCATTGACCTTCTTTCTTTAAATTTCATCTATTCTAAAAACTATTTAAGGCTAAATTCTGAGCGGCGTCTTTACTTTTCCGACGTGGCGGTCAAAAGGTTAAGATTTGTGATAGCAATTCTCAATGTTGTAGTCAAAATTGGCTAGTTTTGAACGAAGAACCAAAATTGTATTCGTTAGATATATTTGTAATTCGTATATTTTAGAAAAGAGCTTCGTCTGTCCAGTTTTAACTGTGAGACGATACAACATGAAGTAAAGTGTTATTCCAGTTTTTAGGATTCAGAATTATTAGTGTAACTTAACCTTTTACAAGGGGCTTATTGATGTAGACCAAAATTTGTACATTTGTATATGAATCAATAAATGATTCAGTTAGTATTTTTTATGGCTCCCAAGAAAATTATAGCCGTAGTCGTACCAATAAAACACTTTTTTCAAGCAGCTCTGTAGAATTTTTATAATAATGTAATTCAATTTTGTCAATATTGAAGTCTCCTAATGAGATGTCTGTAAATATACTATGTGTGCTGATGAATAAACTTTTTAATGTTAATCTTTATGTTATATTTTTTTTTAATAAACGCGCGTTCGCGTACTTTAACGCGCTTATGAAGTATTGACTGAAGTGTGGAAGTAAAGTCTTTGTACACCAGGTTTAATAAGGTACTGTGTAAATGTTGAAATATAAAACTTATTTTATTTAAAAAAAATTACTGGCTTAACGTTATAAACTGTTTCAGCAGCAACATGGACAGAAGAAAACGGTAGATCCTATTTATATTATGAGGGTTACCGGTACCGGATAAACAACCGTTCTGGATATAAAGTATGGTGGATTTGTACACAAAGAACTGCCAAGGGTTGTTCTGGCTCTCTAGTATCTTTCAATGGTCAAGTCTTTAAAAAGTCTGGCCATACACATTAATCTCTTAAGGGCCGACATCGCACTTGTAATTCCACTAACTCCACTAGTGTTCCGAGTGTCAGGGCGCTGGTTGCTTACCATCAGGTGTCGGGCCGTGCTATAAAAATATTGTGTTTTCAAATTGTGTTCAGCTTTTTGTCTGTCGCATGCCGTTTGTTTTCGAAGGCAAACGAATTTGTGAAATATTAGAAAGTACTTTTACTTTTTCGAGTTTTTAACACTTATTATGGTTGTTTGCGAAAGTTGTTATTTGTTGTGTATTTTATTTATTTTATAATTGATGTAGGTTGATCTAAAATAAATTTTGAACCATTTTGAACATGACTTTTCAAATTGGGTGGGTGGAGAAACCCTTGTTTTTAGATTTATTTGTACAAAAAATAAAGGTTTCATTGTCATCCGTCCACATTTAAACCCAATGCTTATTTTGTCACATGGTTTTTACCGCTTTTCCTTATATAATATCATACTCCCATCTAGTTTTAACATGGGTTAAAGTCAAATCTCTAAAAAACTCAAATCTTATATCAAACTATTTTCCCTTAATTTTTTTTCTTTTGGTATTCATATTTTTGTTTATTAAATAAAAATGTTTTTTGCGTCCTTGATAAATTTGTGTTTTTACGAAACAATCTGTTTGATGCTAGTTTGTGTTCTTTAATTGATAACGAGATAGTGATTTGTAAAAAAAAGTTATACAGTGTTGTGTTTACAGAACGAATTTATACATATAAATGTGTTAAACAAGTTTATACATGTGTTTTATTGCAATTAAAACACATCTCTCCATCTCTCTCTGAAATAACCGCCGTAATGTTGTGATTTAAGTTTCTTCATTTGGACCCGGGTATGTTCTAAAAACTGCGACTAGCCATCAAGAAATGCAAAGCGACCAATGCTGAAATGTTTACTGACTAGTCATAAAAAACTAAATAAGTATGTAATATAGATAACGTATGCATACATTTCTTTTAAATAAGCAGTTCCTATACTAATGTTGTTTAGTACCATACTTAATTAATTGAAATATACCAGTTACTTACGTGGATTTAGGAGCATGCTCTAAGAGTTCCAAGTCACGTCGGGACTCACTATATTCTGCATCATGGCGACTGCAACTTGATAATAAAAATGAATATTTTATATCGCGTTACTACGACCTCATTTTTTACTACTGTTGTATATAAGTTTTGTCCCGTGTATAATATTCCTAACCTAAAATGTAGAGATAAATGTATGTATAAACTTTTTTAATGAATATTATTTTCGCAAAATGAAACCAAAAGTGACAAGATTTTTTTTTACAGAGAACAGCGTAGGATTGCGTGATTGTGAGGACAATTCGTTTTTATGGTTCCATGGTTACCGGTACTCAAAGAGCACCACTTTTGGAGACAGAACCTGGTGGGTCTGCAGCAGGAAGAAGTCTATGAGATGTCCAGCGTCCATCGTGACATTTGATGGTCATCCAATTGAAGTTAGCATTAAGAAACATACTCATAAGAACTATTGAAGTAAAAACTTGATACTTGTTTGTTTTTTAATTTTGGAGTGTTTTTGTTTGGTTTTAACAGTAACAAAATAATTTTTTTTTAAAAGACGATCGAATTGTTTGTTAGTAATTTTTGTGTTCAATATTAACCTGTAATGAAATTAGAGTGAAATTGAAATATGGGTTGTTAATTGCAATAATTATTTTCGAATAATAACTTTGAAGCGTTACATTTAAGTGAATATAATAACATGTGCAATTATTTAGCTTAATAGTATAAAATTAATGGAAATCAGCACGAACCAAGGTAGAAGTTTTGCACATATAAATATATATTGTCCTATACGCTCTATTTACAAATAATAAGAAAGAAGAGTAAATACACAAAAAAAAAATAGCTGCTGAAGGTTATATAGTTTATACTGTATTGTATTTATATATGTTAGGTCATATATGTATGTTATGTATATTTAAGATAATATTTCGAGCATCTGCCTCATTGGCCAAGTGGTCGCAAGTGCGACTGCCGGGCAAGGGGTCTCGGGTTCGATTCCCGGGCAAAGATTCAAGGCAAAGTATTACTGGGCTTTTTAAAATATTTCCGAGTTCCCAGCACGGAGCCTGGAATTGTGCCCGGTATATGGCAATAGGCTCACCCCCTATTACATGGGACTCATAACATAAATAGTGAAAAGTGGGTGTTACATACAGTACCTACAGTAGCATTAAGTGCCGTAATGTGCACCTCTGCCTACCCCTTCGGGGATAAAGGCGTGATGTTATGTTATGTTATTTCGAGCATCTTTATACTTTCTATTAGCATCTGTTACATCAAGATACTCTACTCCGAGTTGAAACTTTATTATATCTAATAGAGTTTTGACTTTATTATCATTACTATAAGATTAATAGTCTACTGTAAAGTTGTAATAAGTTGACTTGGGGTGTGTAACTATTCTAGTCATAGAATCTCTATTAGTATGACCTTTAAGTCGTCACTGTTGACCAAAGGTCTCTTCTCACACGTAGAAGGTTTGAGCATTTAACACCACGCTTGCTCAATGAGGATTGGTGATTTCAAACTTATAATTAGAATCTCTGTTAGTATAAGTGTTGTTAATTAATATTACTTATATTTATACATTTAACAATAATATAAATGTGGTGTTGTGATTTGTTAACATGTGAGGAATTTATTGTTGTTATTCATTTTGGTTGAATTATTATATTTATGCGTTTTACTAAAAAAGAGTTTTATTATACAACGTCACGATTGTGCTAGGAAGTGTTTGATTACTTTTATTTGACTTTTATTTTTTTTTTAGTTTATGGTATTGTATGTATGGTATGTGCTAACTACCTATTTACATGAATGTTATTTTGTTATTGTTTTTTATTGTACTAAAGCTTAAAAACTTTAATATATAATTCGTGGATGACATTGTGAGTATTCCTATTGAAAAATAACGATAACATTATTAATTTTTATATTTGTTGGAGTTGTATATAATAAAACTATGTACCTAACTAGGCCTGTCTGTTGAAAATAAACATATACTTATGAACACACGGCTACACATCGAGCTTTACATAACCAGTATAAACTGAACGTTAAATGTGCGGAAAGGTGAAACGACGCGATACCAGGGGAAACTAGTTTTGTATAGATTGATGTGTGGCCGTGTGTACACAGTCTAATAACATAATATTTTAGTCTCTTAGCTATTGTTGCTGATGTAATGATATAATCATGTAACTATAGTCTGTTTACTTTTGTTTAATAATGTATTTTGTATTTCTAGATGCGTGCTTCGGCACATCTAACAGGGGGAACCCGGTTATTATAATTGGACAATACCGTTTTCTTAAAGATCGTGAGTTTGGCCTGAAGATTAGATGGGCTTGCATCAAGAAACGGGCCCTGAAATGTACTGCATCTTTAACGACTTTAGAAGGTGTGATAGTCAAGACGACTGGCTCACATAATCATGATTAACTTTGTTATTAAATGGACTGTTGAAAAAGTGACATAAAATTTCGTGAGACATACTAAATTAATGATTATATTTTCGGCTTACTCATGTAACTGTAGTTTCAGTAGTAGTGCGACGGTCGCTGCGTCGCTTTTTTTTGTTGGGACAAGCCCGCCACAACCTCCCAAAACCGCTGCAACTCCTGTAAGCCAGGATCTACAGTAGATACAACCATGAAAACACCGGAACACTGAAGTCCGGCGCGTCCCAGGGACATGAGTAACTGTCTTGGTTCCCGCAACGAAGTGAATCAGAAGATATTATAATAGGAGAAGAAGAACGCTGCGTCGCTTATCGCGGAATGCTGCTCATGAATATGAGCCTCTAGCATGGCTTGCCACTAGTCGAGTTCCTCGTCAAACAGTAATGCGTAAGCCGAAAACATGATAATTAACTGACGTAAAATTATTTTGACCAATTAAGCCTTTAATTCACTGCTGCTACTCAGTTAGTTGGTATAAGACCTAGTTTACATAATTCTTATTATTATTTTAATAAAGGGTAACCATATTTTATTTTCATATTCAAAGTCTCTATGTATTAAAAAATATGTTTTTTATTTTCAAAGAAGTAATAAAAACTTTGTTTGTAGAAGCTTGTTATTATTTTTAAAATTTTGTGTCTGAACCCATTTTCACTGATCTTCTGTCTACCCCTTCGAACAATGACGAGAAGCCGTAATCTTATTCTATCAAAAATTAAAATCATTTAAAATTAATTACATATTTTTTTTACAGATGACGATGAATTGGTTCCAGTGTTTTTAAAATCTAAGTTTGGTCGTCCCGTCATTGAACTCGGGGGCTATAGATACAACAAGAGATCAGACAGGAATGGGCGCAGAGCTAGCTGGAGATGTGTCAAGAAGCGACGCCTGCTCTGTCCAGCATTCATTGTGACTTTTGATAAAGATGTTATTGACATAAGGAATCGACATAATCATAATTAAAGCTATGTTTTGTATAGTAACTATCCTAAGAGATATTTAAACTACTTATTATGTACGACTCGGGTTAACCCGACTAGTTTCAAGTCACACCGGGATTTGTTTTATCAACGAAACTAGTCGAGTTAACTTGATGTTAGTACTTAGTATGCGTAAATCGTTTTAATATTTAATATAGTTATTTTATTATTAAACCTGTATATTATGTTTTATGGGTATTTAGTTGTAATTGTTTTATTAGTAATCTAATTTTATCATGTAGTATAATAATTTAAAATCTGTATTTTCATATCATATTTTTGAAATTTCTTTCATCTATTAATAGGAAATGCTAATACTAATAATACTCATTACTAAAATCATGCTGTCATCTGTTAGTGGTTTAGGCTAAGGACTCACGAAGGGATTTTCTTTGTATAATATAGATATGTATGTAAAAAATTAAAGCACATTTCCCGACGCGTGCGCTTGTTTGCGGTTCCCGTTGCACCGGCGGGTGCGGATGAAATTCGCGTCGTGAGCACGTAGCGTTAAGCAGAGATTATGTATGATGATAAAATGAACATAACTACCTTGTAGAACATTTTAAAGATTAATTTTGGTTTATTTATGATACCACATAAATGACATTAGTTTGTGTGGATACTATCCGCTGTACGCAGAGTCTTTTTAAGGTTGCTTAACCCAGGTTTTAGTAATTATTTTACTTAGGAATGTTTTATTATAATAACTATCGTGACACATACTAAATTAACTAAAAATCACGGGTTACTCACGTGAGTAGGTTGCGCGACATGGGCACGCTGCTCATGAGGAAGAACCCCTCTGTGGTTCGAAACTGGCTTTCGAAAAAGCTTTTCTCAGTACGAGTATTTTACTTAAGAATGATTTACATACTTAAAGTACCCTTAACCGACGAGCATGCATGAGAAGATTGATGACTGTTGATGAAGCGACAAAGGTGTGTAGGAATCGTAGCAATTGGCGTTCCATAGTCTCTGCCTATCCCCATGGGAGACAGGCGTGAAGTTATGTATGTGTATATGGTTTACATACTTAATCAATTAATGTCTCTAAGTACCACTGTAAGGCTGTTAAATCAGCCAAGTCTGATAGGAAAAATTCAGAATGTTGATGTTTTATTTAAGAGTTCGATTGCTTACAATTAGCTGTTAAAGGCAAAGCCTTCGCTAACATCGGCGTTGGAGTTGTAGGTATATTTAATATTTTTTGTAATATAACTTTTTTCTTCTTTCTCTCTACTTATCGCTCTTTTGTCTAGTTCCAATCTATTGACTGCACTGGTTGCATCTTACTAATATTTTAAATACGAAAGTTTGTATGTTTGTTACTCCTACACGTCAAAATGGATTAAGGGATCGGGATATTGGAACAGGGAACACATAAGCTATTCTTCTTCCCATATGATCGCAGGCGAAGCCGCTGGCAGAAGCTAGTATTCTAATATAGCGTTTCCTAAAAATTTATACTTTATACTAATAGTGGGAATAAGTGAAAGTCTAACAAAGTAAAATGGCGTTGTCGACTGTTGTGATGTGGTATTTGTTAATCAATAAATAAACTTGGAATGATCAATCGTTGCTTTATTTATTACTTATGCACTTTTTATTTGATCAAAATGCTCTACTTCGGGAAGTTGTAAGGTAAAAATCTGAATGTGGTAGTACTGTTGCAAATCTTTATTTTGAGCCAATTCTTTTCTTAAACGAGAAAAGTGTGATAAGAATAATAACATTCTATTTGATCTAATAATTGACGAAATCAGTCATATTTCGAAAGTTAAAATGTTCAATTTTTATTTTAGCTTCCTTTCCTTTACACCGGACATTCTCTGAATAATAGCACCATAGTAAATAAATAATTACGTTATAATTAAGCATATTCTTGGATTTCAGAAATTATAATGATGACTGGAGAAAGGGGAGGTATAAAGCTCGTTGTGGATAAGCATGTCTTCCGCAGAAACAAGAGGTGGGGTGACAAAGCGTATTGGGTGTGCCATCGCAAGAACTCTGGCTGTAAGGCGACTGTTCTCACTATTGACAACAGCGTCGTCACCATTAAAGGAGATCATACTAATCATTGAAATCCACCAGTAAGTACTTGCGACTATAAAAGTAACATTTTACACTATAACACGTTAATCTCTGAAACATCTGGCCCGAATTGTAGTATAAAAAAATAAATAGCGGCTGAAACCATATGACAACTGCTTTAAAATGAACAAAGTCGTGTATTTTAAAGCAGTATCATATCTGGTGCGGAACTAAAAATCACAAATCCCATGCAAAACACTGCACTTTGCGAAATTACGACGGAATTTGTGAATATCGGATAGGTAGCAGATCGATTCTGGGACAGAAATAAAACACGATTGTCATACATTATGTCTTAGAAAAATAATACTCAAATTTATAATCATAAAACTGATATCTGAAACAATTTCACAGGACCAGTAATGATTCCGACCAGGCGAGGAGGTATGAAGCTCCTGTTTGGAGACGAAATCTTCTTCAAGAACAAGACAGCTGGTGCGAGCTCCTACTGGGTATGCAAGAGGAAAGTCTTTGGATGCAGAGCCACCATACAGACCTACGGAGACATGATAGTTAAGGTTAAAGGTGTACATAGTCATCATTAATGGTAGTCAAAAAAGGGCAAATTTGGAAGACAAAACTTAAAATTATTTGTAGGTATGTTGTCGATAAATAATATTGAGAGTATGTGGGTCTGAAGTCGTGGTGGACACCCGCTTCTCATGAAAATCTACCAACGGCAAGTACCAATGTGACTTTTTTGGAGTTATATATACTTTCTATGATTATTTAGACACCACTGACAAACGTTGAAGGAAAACATTTTCAGGAAACCTGGGCTTATAATTTCTAATTATAAGTTTGAAATCGCCAATCCGCATTAAACGAGCGTGGCGATTAATGCTCAAACCTTCGCCGTGTGAGAGGCCTTTGGTCAGCAGTGCCCACTTATAGGCTGTTGATGTTAATATATGATACCGGTCTTATACTATAAGGGTCTTGTCTAAATTAATTGCATCCTGTAAGATTTTAAGTTTAGTGCGAGACCACGGAGCATGGTATACAGTCCCACGATATTTTCTTTGGGTACTTTATAATTAAATACTAAATACTAAATAAATGTTACGAATTTTTATGACCTTGTTAATCATATAAATTACATATATTATTGTTATTAAAGCTTAGTAGGTATATCACTTTTGTTCTTGGGTATCTTGTTGATTCCGGAAATATAAAAAATATTTATTGTTAATAGTGATTTATACCATTACTTTATTATATTCGTATATGTACATTATAGTATATATTACATATTTGCATAATAATTATAGATTTTGCACTTTGTTGTTATTCAAAGGAATTGAAAAACAAAAGATTTAATAATGAAATTGTTGTGTAATGTTTCTTTGTTTCTTAGGTAGATAATTACAGTAAGTTGTTTTTTAGACGGTAAATAATGTCAATTTTTCAAGATAATATACATTTAGTTATTGTCAGGATCAGTTGGTTTTTTATTATGTCAGTCAGTACTCAGGTTAAGCAATGTTTGGTCATTGAATGTAATTTGGTTCACTTAACATTAATTTCGCATAACATTTCGTATATTTTCAATAACACTAGGATATATAAAAATAAATCTGTCTTTTAGGATTTTCTTTTATACTAAAATAGCACAAGATGAAAACGTGTTTCTTCAAACATCATAACAGACATTTTTTTAAATCGCCCTCATATAATTTACGTCATCATACTTAAGACCTGAAAGCCGTCACTGGTGAAAATAGAGTTTGTACATAAGAGTTTGCCATAATCTCCGCACTTTTAGGTGAATTGGGGATCTTGGTTCTTCGCAAATGTAGAAGACTTGAAGACTTTTTTGTTGCCCAACACTAGGATTCTTCCTGTATTTGTAGATCATGCAAAGAGTTCGTTTTGTTCGGTTCGTTCGCGGGATCATTTTCGGTCGGGAAATGAATCCGCGATTATTTTTTTATATTTGATGGACCAATATTTGGCCACTATCTCTTCGGTATACTACAATTCACATCTTAAATTCATCTAAGAAGTATTATAAAAGGTAACCATGTCATGTTTGTAGGTGCAGTTTTTGAGACTAGTCAGCAAGGTAAACCGGTTATCCTGGTTGGTGGTTACCGGTATAACAAGAGAAACGACCGAAATGGCAGACGGGTAACCTGGCGATGTGTGAAGAAATTGTTGAACTGTCCAGCACAAGTCATTACTATGGACAATAAGATATTAACCTTTAGAAATAATCATAATCATTGATTTAAATAGTTTAAATAATCAAACATGAATATAATAATACTTTTTAATGAATAATATAATTGTGGTATATTAGATCAATCAATGTTATACAAATTTGACTTACTACCTCTATTTTATGACTTTTCCAAATTGTTTATGGCTACCCAAAAATAGAGTGTATATTATAATCATGGTTGTTCTACGGTTATTAGTGAAGGAGATAAATGTGTATATAGATTCTTGTGTGTTAATTTCTGCTACTATTACATTGACTACTGTGAAAATATGTTAATATCATCATGAAATAATGCTACTTATGTCATATTGTAGTGTTTCCATTACCTAATCTACCGTTACAAAAAACGTTTTAGTATTAATAACCAATGACAACGTTAATAATTTTAAAATATTTTTCTGATATACATCCTTTATGATTTGTGTCTATTCCATCAACAAGATCCAGATACTTTATATCTTACTAACTTCGTACATCAAAATGGACAATCATTTTAGGAAAGCTCATTCCTACTATTCTTAAAATAACAAATAATAATATGATTAAAAGAAAAATATTCACTATTATTGTTATATTTTTATAATAACTATCTTGAGACATACTAAATTAACTAAAAATCGCGGGTTACTAGCAGCCTTCTGGCCAGAGCAGGCTGCGCGACAACGCTGCGACCGCGCACGCTGCTCATGAGTAAGAACGCCTCTGTGGTTCGAAACTAGTAGAGCTTTTCTCAGTATATTCACGTGAGTAACCCGCGATTTTTAGTTAATTCACTATTATTGTTTTATATTGTAGATATAACAGTGTAAACTATACAAATATAATAATTAAATAATAATTGGTTTCAGCATTTTTCGGAATAACCGAATATGGCAAACGATGTTTATTTATGGGGTTAAATAAGTTTACTGTCCATCAAAACGAGGGTGTGAAGACCAGGTGGAGATGTGTGAGGAAGACCAGGGGCTGCCAGGCGTTCGTGATCACCATCGACAACGTCATCATCAGACAGAGAGAAGATCATAATCATGTGTAGCCTACTGAGATAATAATGATTTTTTGAAAATCGGTACCCAATTCTTCGGATTGGTACACCTTAGGCCTTGTCTGCAGTTATCGCGTTTGCGACCGTTAACCCGTCGATGTAGTCAGAAAATATGGAAATGGTATCCAAAATGACTGCCTCGTTGGCCGAGTGGTCCAAGGGGTCTCTGGTTCGATTCCCGGGTCGGGAAAGTATTCTGGGTTTTTTAAAAATCTCAGTAGTAGCATGGAGTCTGGAAATGTGCCCGGTATATGGCAATAAGCTCACCTCCTATTACATGGGACTCATAAAATAAATAGTGAAAAGTGGGTGTTACTTCTGTGTGCACCTCTGCCTACCCCTTCGGAGATAAAAGGCGTGATGTTATATGTATGTTATGGTATCCAACATGGAGCAATAAGCAACTGTAACATAGCATTAATGTCGAAAAATTGTGTGCGGTGGCCAGCATTATATCTTCAACTTTAATGTATTTACATAAAGTCGGAAATCCAATGAATAAATTTGACAGATTGAAATAGATTGATCTGTTGGCCACTGTAGGTACCTAATATCTAATTTTATTTCCTATTGAATATAGATGGACAAACAGACTTTTAAGTTCTGTTGATATAGTGTGATATACTGCTTCCACTTGCAGCTGAACTATTGTTTTAGTACTAACTAGTACTAGAACTAACTGGTGTAATGTATAACGGTTAATTTATTTAACCTGATTTGGTTTTTCTAGAAATCGAATAAATGTCAATTCTATTATATTTTTACTTCAGGTATTACAAATTGTACATTTAATACACTTCTCCTTTGTTATGATATAGTAAAGTGTAAATAAATAAATAAATAATTATATTAAATTAAATTAAATTAAATTAAATGAAGTCTGGAACTGTGGACGTAGTGCTTTCCTCGCGTAACTTTAAAAAGAATCTGATCAATTTTTATTTACCAGTGTAAGTATTCACGGGTATCCTGTATTATTACTATAATTAATGTAAAAACTATTTAAATTAAATATTTAGAAAATATTATTGAGTAATTATTTCATCCTATTGTTTTGTATAAAACTGGAATATTTTTACTTGTCATTCGAAATTACTCGATTATTTATTGTTACTTATTGTATTAATTTGTCTCATTATTGTTTTCAATGTTATTCATCTGGCCTAACCGTATTTCCTGGAACTACTAGTATATTTTAACAATTGTAAAGGATAAAGTCAACTATTACAAGATTCTTTACCTTATTCCTGTGATTGCAGTACTAATACTATTTCTTTTTTAGAATTCTTGGTGCAAACACATCGAGGTTGCTTCCTAATGGTAAATAACCACAAGTTTCACAAGAAAAGACAAACGACGCACAAAGTCGAGTGGAGATGTGCCAAGCGGAAGAGTCTGGGCTGCAGAGCTGCTGTCACCACTATGTATGATAATGTTGTAATCAAGAAATCGCATTGTCATAATCATAAATGAAATTAAACAAATTAATCGTTATTTTGTCGTATACTGTTTGTTATCATGTTTTTAAAAATATGTATTATTACTAGACTTATCTGAGTTTTATTTCTTCTACATAAAAAAATATGTTTCATATTTTAGTGTAGATATACTTACACAAAAAACTGTACTCACATTTTTTACCTATTCATAATTATTTAAATTGAAAGTAACTTTTATTTTCTTACATTAATGTACGACATTGAGTATTGTTAATAAATTAATCTCTAAGTAGAAAAAACTATTTATTGCTTTTTTACATTTTATTATTAAGATTATTTAATATTATGTTCCTAACTAACTGTTATGCATTCACGTTTCAGTGCCACTACATAGCTTTGTAAAATCAGGACGGAGTCAAACATTAGTTTTAGGAGATGTAAAATACTTCAGGACAAAGGAAGTTAAAGGCAAGATATTTTGGCGCTGTGAGAAGAAGAAACAAGGGTGCAAAGCTTCAGTAATCACCACTAATACAGAAGTTATGCAATTCAAGAATTTTCACAATCATTAAGCTTACACGCCCGTAGAATGGTTGATGTTAGAAGAAGGTGTAGTTTTATTGGTAGATAAAGAGCCGCGGAGAACAACGGGTTACCCGGGCTCCGGCTTGAAGTGTAGGAGTAGGAACGGGGTGGTTTTTACTTAATAAGAGTCTGTCAAAAAAACCGGTAAATAAAAATCATACAAGTACATAACACATAATAAGTATATATTTTATGTTAAACGATTTTAATGAACTCTAATCTACCAATCAAGCCCTTTCGTCTGATATCCATAATGAAGGACTATAATATTGTATGGTCATCAAGATA